TGTTTGTGGCTAATTTTAAATGCTGATGCCTCTCTGATTTTTTTCTCGGCCCATTTATATTTTACATATAGTAGGACTGCAAATATTCTGTATTATTATTTCATCCTGCCATATTGCTAAAGGTGTTTATCTGATGTACGGATTCTCTGTTCGAATTTTTCTGTTCACTTATGTAAAAAAATCCTATCATCTGCAAATAATGAAAACTTGACTTCCTCCTTTCCAATTTGTAACCACTTGCTGTCTTATTCCTCTAGTTAGAGCTTTAAGTACATGATTTAAGACATATGGAGAGAATGTACAACCTTGTCTTGTTCCTGATTTAAAGGAATAACATTGAGTCTCTCCATTTTTTATGTTGACTGTTATCTAGCCCTGTTTTACATTTATCTTGTTTTGGTATGTTCTTGTTATCCATTTTCTCTCCAAGACATTAATCATGAAGGGTATGGGATTTTGTTGAAGGCTATTTCAGCATCTAGGGAGATGTTCATGTTTTATTCTTTTGATGTTCAGTTTCTACTTACGGTGGATTATTTTGGCAGATTATAGTATGTTTTATAATCCCTGCATCTCTGAGAAGAAACCTTCTTGATCATGGTAGGCTGGATTTGATGTGCCTGTATGTATTGAGTATTTTTCATGATATTTTATGAGGGAGATTGTTTGTAGGTTCTCAGTTTAAGTCATGTCTGTGTGTTTTGTGTTTCAATTTAATTGTAACTTCCTTAAAACAGGTGCAAATGAACCCATTACTTCCATCGTGTGGAACAATTTTAGCAATATTGGTATTAGCTCTTCTTTGAATTTCTGGCAGAATTCTGTATTGAAATCATCTGGCAATGTGCTTTTTTGTTTGGGAACTTTGTTGATGGTTTCTTATTCTATAGGTCTATAGGTCTTCTTAAAATGTAAATCTCTTCTTGATTTAATTTTGGTAATTGATATCTGTCCAGTAAATTTTCCATTTCCTTTGAGTTTTCTAATTATGTGGAGTCCAGTTTTTCAAAGTTTGTTCTATGGATTTTCTAAATGTCTGTTGTTGTTTCCTTTCCGATTTTCTTAATTTACATGATATCTTTGCTTTTTGGTTAGTTTAGGTGAAGGTATGTCTATATTATGGATTTTCTCAAAGAACTGACTCTTTATTTCAATGATTCATTGTATTATTTTCGTTGTTTCTACTTTATTGATTTCAACTCATATTTTAATTTTCTAGCATCTACTCCTTGGCAAGTTTGATTATTTTTGTTCCAGAGATTTCAGTTATTCTGTTAAGTCACTAATTTGGGAGTTCTCCATTTCTTTTATGAAGGTACTTGCTGATAAAAACCTTCCTCTTAATGTTGCTTTCAATGTATCCCATGATTTCGGGTATGTTGTGGGTATATTTTCATTGAGTTCTCAGAAGTTTTTAATTTTTTTCTTTATTTCTTCATTGACTGAGGTTGACCCAAACAAACACTGTTCAATTTCAGTCAGTAGGCAGTTTTTAATGTCTGTTTTTGTTGAATTGTAACTTTAAACAATGGAGATCTGATAAGATACGGGGTGTTGTTAAATTTTTATTTTTTCTGTTAAAGTTTCTTTGTTGCTGACCACATGGTCAATTTTAGAGAAAGTTCCCTGATGTCCTGAGAAGAAGGTACATTCTTTGTATTTGGATGAAATGTTTTGTAGCTGTCTTTTCTTCCAAGTTGAGTCAAATTTTCTGTTAGTTCCTTTATTTCTATGATAAGGCACAGTGAGAGTTCGGTGATAAAGTCATCCACTATTTGTATGTAGGGTTTAATGAGTGACTTAACTTTTAGTACTGTTTCTTTTACAAATGCGTGTTCCTTTTATATGTGGCATAGATATTCAGAATTGAGACTTAACCTTGATGGATTTTTCCTGTGTTGAATATGAAATGACCTTCTTCATCACTTATGATTAAATTTTGAAATCTAATTTATTAGATATTAGGGTAGGTACACAAACTTTTATATTAGGTCCATTTTGCTGGATAATCTTTTCTCAACCCTTACTCTGAGGTAATATATGTCTTTGATAGTGAATTGTCTTTCCTGTATGAACTAGAAGGATGGCTTCTGTCTTCTTATGCATTCTGTTAGCCTGTGTCTCTTTTTTTTAATAGGAAAGCTTAGACTATTGATATTAATAGATTATTTATGACCATTTATTTTTATTTCTGTTAGTTTTGTATTTGTTGTTAGTGGTGGTAATGTGAGCATGTGTGTGTTTCATTTTTGTGGGGAGTTTGACAAAATAGTAATATCTTTTGTATATGTATTTGTGACTATAACTAACTTCCTTACATAGAGTTTTCTATCTAGTACATACTGGATGGCTGGATTTGAGGATATGTGTTTTTTAAATCAGGATTTGTTATAAACTATATAATTTTATTCATCTACAATAACTGAGGACTTGGTGGGAGTATTCTTGGCTGGAATCCCTTTTGTACTATTACCTTTAGAACATGTATCCAGGACGACCTAGATGTCCAGAGTAATTGTAATAGGTATACCCTCATATTTTTTGGCCTTTTTCCTTTGAATCTTTTAGTATTCCTTATTTGCTATGTATATTTTATTTTTTAATATTTTTGGGAAGGAACTATTTTGGGTTGTGTCTATTTGGTTTTCTTTAATGTATTTGTCCTTTCTTAGGCATTTACAACCTTGGATTGGGAAAGTTTTTATGATTTGGTTGCATATGTTGTCTGTGCCTTTGAGCTCGACATCTTCACATTCTTCTATAGTTATTGTGGTTAAGTTTGGCCTTCTCACAAAGTCTTGAATATTTTATGTTAAGAATTTTTGGATTTAGCATATTCTTTGGTTTTATGCTTGAAGTCTTAGGTATCAGATTATAATAACTTGAAGTTCAAGGGATACAGATAGGACAGAGAAAAGCCAGAGTATAAACATCACACATAATATTAGTCTTGCACAAATAATTTTAAATGAAGATACATATCCTAGTCCTAAGATTACTGCTAGATTGTAGGGTTTTGTTTGTTTGTTTTATTATGGTCACCATAAAAGCCACTACTTCCATAATGTGTCACATACTTACATGGTATAATATTGTAAGAAAATACAAAATAGCATATATATTTGAATAATTGTTATATAAATTTGGTGTTATTTGCCTCCCAAAACTTCATGTTTTTGTACTAATCATCCATTCATCATAAGGTAAGAATGTTACAAAATTTCTGTTTCCCAATCGATAATGTCCGTTGTTTGACAAATACCTTATCAAATGCACATATTGAATGATATGAGCAAAAAATTACCCTGTGCCATGGATTATGTACCATATTACTTGTTTAATTTAACATGATGTGATCTGAAATTATATATTCATTATCAATAAAGCACAAACACACACATACTCAAGCACACACACTCACACACGCATATATATATATCTATATGAATTTAGATAAAATATATACATATATATCAACAACAATTATGAAAATTATGTTTAAATTATTGATGAGTGAATATGGCAATATTAGGAATGAAAACGGCTGGGAAAAGCCTGCTGTGAATTGGTATAATTATATTTTAATTAAATTTACATTTAAAATAGTTTGTGAATTTAACATTAAACCCTGAGTTCTTATTTTATTTTGAAAATCTAAATTTCAATATACTTTGAAAAACTGAATTTTATACAGTATGTTTTCTACTAATTCAATATATTCTTAGGTAGCTAAAGAAATGGAAATCCTATATAATTATCACTGTTCAAAGAGGTCCCTTTCCAATTATTAATATTATAAAATACAATTTCATGATGTTTGAGCATTTAATACCTTATGCCCATATTTGTTTTTCAAGATCATTTTACTGTTTTCTTTGTAATAATCACTCTCTTTTAATGACTATATATTAGCATGCATTAATAATAATTAATTATAGGAACATTTTATAATTCATATGTTTTGAAGAGTATTATGGACCTGAATAAATAATACAATTTCAATGTAAATAGAACATTTTATTGTGATTCATCTTTTTGCTACAGTTCACATCGGTGTCCCTTTAAGTATAAGTTTCCACATTATTCTTCCCAAATTCCAGAAACTCAGATATTATTTGCTTTCATTTCTTCCAGCTCTCTATTATTATCCATTTCAGGATTTGTTCCCAAAAGTGTCGACAGAACATACTTCTCAAAGAGTAATATTAGGATATTTTGGAAGAAACAATGCTGGGGAATTACATAAAAAGTTCTCTGCCTGCAGATATGTCAATGAAGAGCCTGAATCATATTTTGCTGGAAAGAAAAGAGAAGATTTCAAGTGTACAGAATGTTGCAATTCTTTTTCCCATAGGTTTTATTGTCAGGTTCATCAGACAACCCAAACTGGAGAAGAAAAGACTTTCATGTGTGAAGCTTGTGGCAAGTCTTTTACTCAGAGTTCATTACTTCATGCTCATCATGGGATGCTTAATGGAGAGAAACCTTACAAATATTTTATGTGTAGAAAGTCCATTACTGCATACTCAAATCTTCAAGTTCATCAAAGAATACAAGCTGGAGAGAAACCTTACAAATGCTCAGATTGTGACAAGTCCTTTGATTGGAGATCAACCCTTCAAGTTCATCAAACGATACATACTGGAGAGAAACCTTACAAATGCTCAGATTGTGACAAGTCTTTTAATCGGAGATCAGTCCTTCAAGTTCATCAAATGATACATACTGGAGAGAAACCTTACAAATGCTCATGATATGTGACAAGTCCTTTAACACAGAGATCATCCCTTCAAATTCATCAAAGGATACATACTGGAGAGAAACCTTACAAATGCTCAGATTGTGACAAGGCTTTTAAACAGAGATCAACCCTTCAAGTTCATCAAAGAATACATACTAGAGAGAAACCTTACAAATGCTCAGATTGTGACAAGGCCTTTAAACAGAGATCAACCCTTCAAGTTCATCAAAGAATACATACTGAAAAGAAACCTTACAAATGCTCAGATTGTGACAAGGCCTTTAAACAGAGATCATCCCTTCAAGTTCATCAAAAAATACATACTGGAGAGAAACCTTATAGCTGTAATGTATGTGCCAAATCCTTTACCACAGGATCATATCTTCAAATTCATCAAAGAATACATACTGGAGAGAAACCTTATAGCTGTAATGTATGTGCCAAGTCCTTTACCACAGGATCGTATCTTCAAATTCATCAAAGAATACACACTGGAGAGAAACCGTACAAATGTAGTATGTGTGACAAGGCCTTTATTAAAGGCTCAAAAGTTCAAGTTCATCAAAGAATACACACAGGAGAGAAACCTTACAAATGCTCAGATTGTGACAAGTCCTTTGATTGGAGATCAGTCCTTCAAGTTCATCAAAGGATACATACTGGAGAGAAACCTTACAAATGCTCAGATTGTGACAAGTCCTTTAATTGGAGATCAGTCCCTTCAAGTTCATCAAAGGATACATACTGGAGAGAAACCTTACAAATGCTCAGATTGTGACAAGTCTTTTAATCGGAGATCAGTCCTTCAAGTTCATCAAATGATACATACTGGAGAGAAACCTTACAAATGCTCAGATTGTGACAAGTCCTTTAAACAGAGATCATCCCTTCAAGTTCATCAAAGAATACATACTGGAGAGAAACCTTACAAATGCTCAGATTGTGACAAGGCCTTTAAACAGAGATCAACCCTTCAAGTTCATCAAAGAATACATACTGGAGAGAAACCTTATAAATGTAAAGAATGTGGAAAGTCCTTTCCTACAGTCTCAAATCTTAAAGTTCATCAAAGAATACATACTGGAGAGAAACCATATAGCTGTAATGTATGTGCCAAATCCTTTGCCACAGGATGGTATCTTCAAATTCATCACAGAATACACACTGGAGAGAAACCATACAAATGTAGTATGTGTGACAAGTCCTTTTTGAAAGGATCATCATTTAAAGTTCATCAAAGAATACACAGTAGTGAGAAACCTTAAAATGTTCAGATTGTAGAAAATTCTTTAAACAAATCTCCACACTTCAATTTCACCAAAGAATACACACTGAACAGAAAGCTTATAATAGCATAGAATGTACTAAGTCTTTCACCACATGGTAAAATCTTCAAGTTCTTCAAAGAACACACACTGGAGAGAAACCTTACAAGTGTTCAGATTGTGGAAAGTCCCTTAAATTGACATCAACATTTCAAATTCATCAAAAAATATATACTGGAATATAACCTTGCAAATGAGATGCATGTGATAAGTCCTTTACAAAGAGCTCAATACTTACGTTTCATCTAAGACTACATAAAAGAGAAATGGCAAAAATATACAAATTGTCGCCAGTTCTTTTGACTATGATTCCCATCTTTAAAGACAGTAAATGACAGGAGAAGGCGAATCCTTAATATTTAATGTGTATGTCACATGCTGTGTCCTTTTCTCCTAGATCATTTCAGCAAAATCTCACTACATCCAAACTTGAGAGAAAACTTATGAATGTTAATCACATGAAAAATCCTTTTTTGGGTAGTTAAATCTTAACGAATAATACAGAATCTATATTAGATGAACACTGACAATTTTAATAAAAACGTAGGAACTTTTATGGAGTGCTTACACAGTCAAACCCCATAAATCAGTAGTAATGGAAATATACCAAACAAATGTAGACTGTTATACAAAATTTTGAAAGGATGGTCAAAACCTAGAGCATTCTGAAAATACATGTAAGAGAACAACTAAATAGGGAATTACTGTCCCAATACTCATACAAAGATAAGGAAATTTATAATGTATATAGAAGAAGGAAACTTTTAGCATTTGTTGAAACTTTATTCACAGTTAGATGAGGGGCATTACTAATCCTTATGATCATTGTTGTTTTAAAAGCTTTCTACCAAGTAATAAAATGGTTATTCATAAAAGTATTGTTGGAAAATCATCTATATATGCTGTGATATATATCTCAGTACTACACTGAAATCAAATATTAAAATGATATGCATTGAATTTAATAATAGTTGAAGGCAAAAACATTTGAAAATGAGATTACTTATTCTAGGGTAATTTTACTAATAACCATCCAATTCAACATCACAGTGAAATTTTCTGTACCTTTAATGTGACAGTATATTGAACACTTATTTATGATAGCTTTGTATAACTATCATTGTGTTGCTAGTGTTTGAAATTTTACAGAATGTAATATAGATTGTTTTTAACCTTTTATGTTTTACTATTTTCTCAATTATCAATAAATATAATAAAACTTGTTTTCAATTACTGCTGACTTGGAATGGTGAACATCCAGTTTATACTAGTGTAGGCTAATAAGTGGCAGGAGTTGCAATATGAAAAATTGCCAGAAAACATGACCTGAACAAATGGCTTTAGGAAAACTATGAGATTGAATCATTACACGTGTATGCAGGGGAAAAGACAGGCTGGTTATTTGAAGGCCTGAGTGGGTTTTTGAGTGAACTCCAACTGCTGTCATGGACAGAGTAAGGTCCAAGACCAGACACTGAGACACAGAAAAAGATGCAATCTAACTGAAAACTAACTTTTGCTCATTGATTGAGGTTATGAACATTACAAGTCCTCCTGTGTATTTATTAAAATGTCGATAGTTTATGTAAAATCTATCCAGCATATTTTGTTTACTTCAAATACTTAGACCACAATAGTTGAAGTATGTTGAGTCTGAAAGTATTAAGATGAGCCAAGAATGCATACCTGCTTTAGATAATAACCCAGCCACTCAAATATAAAACAATATGTAATAAATCTTTGAATCTATTTAGATGAAGGTACTTCAGACAGAGGGGTTTGGTTGATTCCAATCAGATGTCTGGGAACACATGATCCCAGCTTTTGAGTCCCTATTATATCTAATTAAATTTTCTACATTCTCAAACCAGTCCACTTATATGTATCACTTGAAACATACTGTACAGGAAATTAATGGCCCAACATTCTCTATTCAAAAAAAGTTATTTGAGTGTTTGAAATGAATTGTAATCACAATTTCTCATTAAGGAAGAAACTGCTTGATTGTTAAGTACTAATGATTCTGAGAGTAATACTTCCCCAATAAAATTTTTGAGACAGAAATGAAGAAGAACCATTGGCAATTATACCTACATTTAAAATATGGGCTAGCAAATACAAAAGGAGTCACCAGACAAGCAAATACAACAGAACAGATTTTCAAAACTGGAAAAATGACTCAACAAAAACAGATACCGTAGCTTCTTCAATGTATGATCTCATACTTTGTGTGTACATGTCAATTTTTCATCTCTTTGTAAATTTGACAGAAATTCAATTTTCATCTTTCACCACACAGTCACATCTCTTTCCTCACATAAATATTTCTTACATACATGTCACTCTTCTATAGAGGTATATTTGTTACATGTCTCTATCCACTTAGGTACATCACTTCACACTTTTCTTGCCCTTCTCCTCAAGTCTTGCACACATCACTCTTCTATCAAACTTTGCCTAAATACACTGTTTCATCCCTTGTACAACACTACTCATCCCTTTCTCAGGTCTCAATGCATATATATGTTCATTTCTTAGCACACATCTCCTGTTTTTTCTTGCATTAATCTCTGTCAACAAAGTAGGTTTTTCTCTCCACTTCTCTCACTTTTTCCTAGATACTCATCTTCTTACATAGGAAAAATCCTGGAGGGCATGTAGAAATATTTTCAGGGTCATAAATCATTTCTTCAGTAAACAATAAGACAGGATCATAAAAAAATCATGAAAATGTCCCAGGCTTGGAATATCATAGTGACCAGCCAATGAGCAACCTTGCATTCAGCCGATTTGCCTGCAAACTTCAAGATTCCATAGTCTTTTACTGCTGAATATTTTCCATTGTGTAAATGCACCACATTTTCTCTATCCACTCTTCAGTTTAGGTGAAACAAGTTTCCTTCGAGGTTCTGGCTATTACAAATAATGCTGCTATAAATATAGTGAAACAGATGTCCTTGTTGTTTGTATGTGCATCTTTTGGGTATATGCCTAATTGTGGGATTGCTGGGTTTTGTTGTAGACTGATTCCCATTTTCGTGAGGAATCCACATACTGATTTCTATAGTGACTGCATGAGTTGGCACTCCCCCTAGCAGTGGAGGAGTGTTCCCCTTTCCCCTCATCCTCTGCACCATAAACTGTCATGGTGTTTTTGATTTTAGCCTTTTTGACAGGAGTAAGATGGTATCTCAGAGCTGTTTTGATTTGAATTTACCTGAAGGCTAAGGATGTTGAGCAATTTCTTAAGTGTCTTTAAGCCATTGTAGTCTCCTCTATTGAGAATTCTCTACTTAGTTCTATAGTCCACTTTTTAATTGGATCCTTTGGTGCTTTGGAGACTTGTTTTTGAGTTTTTGTAGATTTTGGAGATCAGCCCTCTGTCAGATGTGGGGTAAGTGAATATCTTTCCCAATATGTGGGCTGCCTTTTTGTCTTGTGGACTGTGTCCTTTGCCTTGTAGGGGCTTCTGAGTTTGAGCAGGTACCATTTATTAATTATCATCTCAGTTTCTGTGCAACTGGTGTTATGCTTGGTATGTAGTCTCCTGTACCAATTTGTTCAACGGTACCCCCCACTTTCTCTTCTAACAGGTTCAATGTGATTGGATTAATGTTGAGGTCTTTAATCCCTTTGGAATTATGTTTTGTGCAGAGCGACAGACATGGATCTATTTGCAGTCTTCTACATGCCAGAATCCAGTTATGCTGGCACCATTTGTTAAAGATGCTTTTTTTCCATTGCATAATTTTAACTTCTTTGTCAAAAAAACAAGTATTCATATGTGAGTGTGTTAAGATAAGGGGTTTCTATTCGATTCCATTGGTCTACCTGACACTTTTGTGCCAATACCAAGCTGTTTTCAGGACTATTGCCTTATTATAGTGCTTGAAATCAGGGACGGTGATGGCTCCGGATGTTGCCTTGTTGGACAGTATGGTTTTGGCTTTACATATAATGTTGAGACTTTTTTCTATGCTTGTGAAGAATTGTTCTGGGTTTTCAGGGGGTATTTTATTGAATCTGTAGATTGCTTTTTACAATATTGCCATTTTTACTCTGTTGATCCTACCTATCCAAGAGAATGGGTGATCTCTTCATTTTCTAGTGTCTTCTTTAATTTCTGTCTGTAAAGTCTCAAAGTTCTTGTTATACAGGTCTTTCACTTCTTTGGTTATAACTACCCACATGATAATTCATGATGTTTATGGCAATTCTACAGGGTGACATTTCTCTGATTCGGTGCTCAGCCCTTTTATTGTCTGTATATAATAGAGCTACTGATTTTCTTGAGTGGAACTTGTATCCTGACACTTTGCTGAAGATATTTTTCAACTGTAGGAGTTCCCTGGTAGAAATTTTTGGGTCACTTTTGCAAACTATCATATCATCTGCAAACATTGAAAGTTTGACCTCTTCCTTTCCAATTTGTATAGCATTGATCTCCTTTTGTTGTCTTATTTCTCTGGCTAGAAATTCAAGTACAATATTGAAAAATATGGAGAGAGTGGGCAGCCTTTTCTTGTTCCCAATTTTAGAGGAATTGCTGTGAGTTTCTCTCCATTCAGTCAGATGTTGCCTGTTGGTTTGTTGTATATAGCATTTATTAAGTTTAGGTATGTTCCTGTTGTCCCTGATCACTCCAAGACCTTTATCATGAAGGGGTGTTGGATAGTGTCAAAGGCTTTTTCAGCACCGAGTGAGAAGATCATGTGATTTTCGTTTGTCTACTTGTTTATATGATGGACTATATCAATGGATTTTCGTATGTTGAAAAATCCCTGCATCCCTGGAATGAAACCTACATGTTCATGGTGGATGAATTTTCTTATATATTTTGGTCTCAATTCACCAGTATTTTATTGAGTATTTTTGCATCAATTTTCATGAGGTTTGTTGGTTTGAATTTCTCTTTGTTAGTTGTGTCTTTGAGTGACTTGAGTGTCAAGGTTATTGAAGCCTTGTTAAAAGAATTTGCAAAGTCCCTTCTTCTTCTATTTCATGGAATAGTTTGAGGAGAATTGGTATAAGCTGATCTTTGAATTTCTCACAGAATTCTGCACTGAAGCCCTCTGGCCCTTGGCTTTTTATTTGGGAGATTTTGATGACTGTTTCTATTTCCATAGGTGTTATGGGTCTATTTAAATTGCTTATCTGTTCTTGATTTAATTTTTCAATTGATATCTGTCCATTTCCTTTAAATTTTTGAATTTGTGGAGTACAGATTTTCAAAATATGACTTGATGATTCTCTGGATTTCCTCAGAATCCATTGTTATGTCCCCCTTTCATTTCTGATTTTGTTAATTTGCATGTTCACATTCTGCAGTTTGGTGATTTTCGAAACAGGCTTGTCTATATATTAGATTTTCTCAAAGAACCGACTCTTTGTTACATTGATTCTCTTTATCGTTTTCCTAGTTTCTACTTTATTGAGTTCAGCACTCAATTTGATTATTTCCTGGCATCTACTCATCCTGGCTGAGTTTTCTTATTTTTATCTAGAGCTTTCAGTTGTGTTGTTAATACTCTAGTGTGACTGTTTTCAAGTGGGCACTTAGTGCTATGAACTTTACTCTTAGCACTGCTTTCAAAGTGTCCCATAAATTTGGATATGTTTTGTCTTCATTTTCATTGAAATCTGGGATGTTTTTAATTTCTTTTTTATTTCTTTTGTGACCCAGGTTTGGTGCAATTGTGCATCATTTAATTTCCATGAATTTGTAGGTTTTCTCCAATTTGTGCTGTTGTTGAATTCTAACTTTAAAGCATGGTGGTCTGATAAGATACATGGAGTTAATCCAATTTTTCATACCTGTTGGGTTTTCATATGTTTCCAAGTATGTGGATGAATTTTAAGAATGTTCCATGTGGCGCTGAGAAGTATGTTTATTCCTTGGTGTTTGGATGCAATGTTATATAGATGTCAGTCAAACCCAATTGGGTCATAACTTCTTTTAGTTCCTTTTATTCTTTTTTAAGTTTCTGTCTGGTATTCCTGTCCAGTGTTGAGAGTGGGGTGCTAAAGTTTCCGAATACATGTGTGTGAGGTTCTAGGTGTGGTTTCAGTTTTAGTAATGTTTCTTTTATGATTGTGGATGCCTTTGTGTTTGGAATATAGATGTTCAGAATAGAGACTTCATGTTGATGGATTTCTCGTGTGGGGAATATGACATGACCTTTTTCATCTCTTTTGATTGATTTCAGTTCAAAGTCTAGTTTGTTAGATGTTAG